CACAACCAGTCTCTCAATCTGTTTAAGACGGCGACTTCACCTTTCTTGTTCCTTAATGTGCTTCTGTAGCGACAAACAGCTAAAACACGCTGTTCCACCAGTATTCTCATGCCGTGCTGTGTTCTCATATATTTATATGTTAGACACTTACTTGTCCGTGAAAAGTTCATCAACTCTGCATCAGCCGAGGCATTCCATTTGAAGCATGTAAGCGGTAGTTTAACTGTTGGTTAATTCTGGAAAAGGGTAGAATGCCTTCTCCAGGTCAGGGATGAGGTCCTGCCCCAAGTGGAGGAGTTTAAGTATCTCGGGGTCTTGTTCACGAGTGAGGGAAAACTGGAGCGTGAGATCGATAGGTGGATTGGTGCTGCATCTGCAGTGATGCGGGCGTTGTACCGGTCTGTCGTGGTGAAGAGAGAGCTGAGTCAGAAGGCGAAGCTCTCGATTTACTGGTCGATCTACATTCTTACCCTCACCTATGGTCATGAGCTTTGGGTAGTGACCGAAAGAACGAGATTGTGGATACAAGCGGCCAAAATGAGTTTTCTCCGAAGAGTGGCTGGGCTCTCCCTTAGAGAAAGGGTGAGAAGCTCGGTCATCTGGGAGGGGCTCGGAGTAGATCTGCTGCTCCTCCACGTCGAGAGGAGCCAGTTGAGGTGGCTCGGGCATCTGGTCAGGATGCCTCCTGGACGCCTCCCTGGTGAGGTTTTCTGGGCACGTCCAACCGGGAGGAGACCTAAAGGTAGACCTAGGACACGGTGGAGGGACTATGTCTCTCACCTGGCCAGGGAACACCTTGGGATTCCCCCGGAGGAGCTGGCCCAAGTGGCTGGGGAGAGGGAAGTCTGGGCCTCTCGCCTTAGGCTGCTGCCCCGCGACCCGACTCCGGATGAGCGGATGAAAATGGATGGATGGATGATTAGTTCTGGTTGGTGCTCAGTTTCCTATTGCACAGAGCTCTGCGGGGCCGGGGGCGTGCTTGGCTAAATAAATAAAAAAGACGTAATGCTTACATTATACCACAGTGCATGATGAGATCATCGCATCATCGCTTTTACAGTTTTCTGAATAATCATACATCATTTCTGAAAGTGGAAAACTCGTAAGCTACTTTAAGTAATGTGTTATATAATACTGTTACTGCTGTAAAAATGCTGTAATACTGGTGTAATACTGTCATATTACTTGTGTAATATTGTCATAACTGGTGTTATGTTGTAGTAAAACTGGTGTAATATTGTGGTATTACTGATGTAATACTGTGTAATATTGGTCCGCCAGGCTTATACAGCGCTGGGGGAAACCCTGCGCCAGTACTACACCAGTATTACACCAGTACTACACCAGTATTACATTAGTAATCAGGTTTTCCAGCAGCGGAATGTGCCCCCCCCCCCCCCCCCCCCCCCCCCCATCAAAGCCGCCAGGCTGAACTCGTTTTCTGGGGGAAACCCTGCTGGCGCATTACTTAGCTCGTTACTTTTGCGATGCGTTGATCCCCGTCTTTACTCTTGTGGATTATTTTTTACTTTAGCTGTTTTCGTGCACTAATGTCAGAATTCCAGTCACATTCTTATGTTTTCTTTTTCCTGCTACAGTGCACACATACATAATTTTACCTTTTTAACTAAAGGTTTTTTCCTCCTCTCTACATGTTTTCCTTCATTCATACAAAATGGACTCCCTTTTTTGTAAATTTAAGACTTAAACATCTTTTTTTTTTATACCACAAATGTTTTTCTAGCTTTGACCTGTTGTTCCCATTAAAACCAGTAGGATAGCATACATTTACAACTAACGTCACTAATTCCTGGAGATCCCACATAAACTTCTAGGTTGTGTTTGTTTGCGTCTCTTTTCTGGTTTTCTTTATTTTAATGGAAGAATCTTTTCTCTTCCAGGGCTAAAGAGGTGGGTGGAAGTAGGAAACTCTGGTGTGTTCAGACCAGAGATGCTGTTGCCCATGGGTCTGCCTGAGGACGTATCTGTAATAGCCTGGGGCCTTTCTCTGGAGAGGTGAACACTCACACACACACCCCACACCCCACACACAAGTGCTAAAGGGCTCCCATCAGACACACTTTTGGGGGAATTGGTTCATCTAATGAGAATACATCATAGTCTAATTTTTAGTGGTGAGTATACTCTGACAAAGATAAATTGATCATGACTGGCTCAGTTTTAAATTCCTTCAGTTTTACAAAGTTGTCAGCTATCCAACCCCTCTCATCAGCAGGGCATTGGTCGGAGAGTGAACGAGCTTTGGGGTTGTCCAGAGCAAGGTAGATTTGACAGTCGTCTGCGTATGAATGGTAGCTCAGGCCATACTTTACTAGAATTTTGCCCAAAGGGAGGATGTAGCTGGAGAAAAGGAGAGGCCCAAGCACAGAGCCCTGAGGCACTCCCCAAGGGAGTGAGCGCCATTGAGGAGCATTGACCAAGCTGAACCTTGAAGACTCTATTGTCTAGATAAGGGGCGAACCGATTTATTTATTTTTCTTCCGGCTCTTGGAGAGTTCAGACGCTTTTTTCCTCTTATCTTATCCCAAGGCTCTTTGTCTGTCTTTGGGTGGACGGCACTTCTGCATTTTTTCTGGAAACTGGAAATGATTAAAAATGGATCTGGTCAGTTGGTCTCTCAATGCGATTGACAAAATTTTTTCACCGATGAGAACGGGAGAAGGGGCTCCCGGGTGCCCCTCTGGGACAGAGCCAGCTGGGCATATCATGGACTCCTGGAAACAGTGGAACCTGATCTGCCTCTCAGCTGTCTGTAGAGGATTCTGAAGACGTCTGGATATTCGTGGTGTTGGTGTCAGGTTTCCTGCTTGCCTGGCCTGTTTATTTTCTTTAGGTCCTTTGTGGCGCGCTACATTCAGGACTTGAAACAAACATGTCTTTGCCTCCATTAGAGTGATTGTAATAACTGTAGACCGCATAAAATGTCAGCATTTTAACGCCCAGTCACCAGAGTAAATGGGGTTTTGTGCACCGCCGGCTACTTCCGCACCCACATCTGCATTTGGTGATGTAGATGCAACATCATGTGAAACCCAGCAATGGCCTGAGGAGATCAGCGAGTCCTTCAGTGGGTAGGAGGAGCTCTATCCAGTATCCGAGCTGGCACGTTCCCGTTTGAACTGACAAAGCCTCCAGAGGAGAACGGAGATTTTCAGTTGTTTTCATTCAAATGTGGAGTTACAATGACCTGGATGACTGAGGACCTCCACCAATGGAGCGGATGACTCCCAGTGAGGTAACCGATACGGTGGGTAGGGGAACCCTTCAGAATGAAGCTCAGATCTTCCCGCTGTACAGAGATTGAGATTTATTACATCAGGCCTACCGTATGACGCCACCGCCTTTAACCTCCTCGTGGACCCGTGTCCACATTTGAGGACCCGTGTCCACATTTGAGGACCCGTGTCCACATTTGAGGACACGGGTCCACATTTGAGGACACGGGTCCTTGCACTTTTTATTCTGCTTCTTGGACCATTTTGTTGTTATTTATAGACACTTTTGTCTTTTGCTTTTTAGGGTTTTTGACAACATTTTTATTTGATTAGATTTTTATTGTATTTTAATGTTTGCACTTTAGTTTCCGGTAATTACGGTCGACTAATCTGAAATGGCTGGACGTGTTTTTTAATCACACCAAATACAAGTCTGGCTCAAGTTGTTTCTGTCAGTGTTTAGATATGAAATATGGTAAATGAGCCACACTTAGAGTCTGACTCCAAAGCACTTTACAGTGTATCATTCATCCATTCACACGCTGGTGATGATGAGCTACAGTGCAGCCACAGCTGCCCTGGGACACACTGACAGGTGAAACTTACCCAACTTTCCATTTCTCCTGTCTCACCATGGATGCCCTACTTTAAATTCTCACCCCACCATGCTGGCCAGGGGAGCATGCGCTCACCTGCTAGTTAGCTAGTTAGCTTGTTTTTAACATGACACATGCTGTTGTTTATAAATGCTAGATTTCACGTACCGTGTGTCGGTAAGCTCCTCTTCCCTACATGAGGTAAAGCTGCTCTGGCTTCTTCTGTCTTCAGTCTGCTCCCAAACACCAGGAGCTGCAGCTGCAGTTCTCTGGAGCAGCGGTACGAGCGATGCAAGCTAGCTGCAACAGTGTCCCTACGCCTTGTTGGACCCGTTCAGCCGGCAGCGCGTTGAAGCACTAACGCTGTTGTTGACTCGGGTCGGTGTGACTGCACCATAGCAAATGTCGCGCTTGATGGATGCCCGTTTGGCCCAAAAAGGCTTGCTTCATAAAATAAGAGAAGGCTGATGGAGAATGGGAGATGGAAGCTAGGGTACAGAACTGATACAATTTCTTTGCACATTTTCAGTGGTTATACGGTAATTGTGACCGTCATATGGCGTATGCCTGCGTTCACGTAGACTACACCGCTGGTTCTGATGCATTTGGTTGGGTCTGACCTGTAGTTGGAGTGTTTTCCTACCAGTAGACCTCGGCTTGTTTGCTGCTGCTCTAAATAAAAGCTTCTGCTAGCAGAGCTAGAGGATCAGGCTTGGTTTAAAGACTCGCTGACCTGGGTCATGGCTTCACTTAGTGTGATCTGGAAGCTTTAAGGCTGACGGATTTACTACCGAGCCAGTTCCCTTGGGTTTGGCCAAAGTAGCAGAAGCCAGCGTTAGTCTGGGCGTGCGTACACACACGAAGTCAGAGTCGATGCGTCATTGATCTGGTGTTTGTGTCAGAACGACGACGTCACCTAAATGTTTAAGTCTGATCTAATACCCACAGGCCATGAGCCAAGCCTCCGTTACCATGGTGATCTGGCTGGAGCAGCTCTCTGATTTTTATTTCCCTCTGCTTTGACTTGCAGGCCCACCATGATTAAATATGGCATCAACAACATCCGAGAGCTGGTGGGACACAAGGTGAACCTGCAGATGGTTTATGACAGCCCCTTATGTCGACTGGACTCCTGAGTTTTTGCCCACTTCTTGTCAATAATTTATGGGATGGAGGCGTTTTCCGGCCCAGGTTCCTGATATCCACACCTGTATGAGACAGCTGTTTAGCTGTGAAGCTTCTTCTGATGGTCGTGAAGTCAAGGCTGAGGTTTTCAGACCCTCTGATCCCAATGCTGTCAGCACTCAGCTTGTTTTTGTACATCATGTTAGCCAAATGACAACATTAAATGATTCTGTAGAAACGCCGTGCGCCACGTCATTCTGCCTCCTTCTACAAGTACATTAGCTAGGAACAGAATGTTCACCGTCCCCTTGAGTGTGTGTTCTTGTACTTGGTTTCTACTGAGGACCATCATGAGGTTTTAACCAATAGAGTGAGGACATTTTTCTGGTCCTCGCTTGGTTTTATAAACTAACTCATTGGTTTTAGAGATGTGGTGTGAATTAAGTTTTAGTTGGGGTTAGGTTAGCATCGGTTCGGGTTCGGGTTAGGCATATACGGTCACCTTTTGTACGTTCTTGCTGTGTTTGTCTTCTAATTCCATCTTTGGTTCTTTTTTAAACACAGATGAGGTTTTTCTTTACCTTGTTGACGGTTTCGTTTGCGGCTGCAAACTTCCTCAGGCTTACTCTGATGCGGGCAGCAGAGGGCGACAACGTCCTCTGCTGCCCGCGTATAAACGGAGAAGGAAGTGACGCCACCATCAGCGTCAGCCTGAGGAAGTTTGCAGCCGCAAACGAAACATAGCGGGAAATCAGGTAAACAAAAACTGCTGTTTTAAAAAAAGAACTACAGAATGGAATTAGGACTGGTAGCTAACTCCACTTACTTCACGTACGACAACACAATATACAAACAACTGGAAGGCGTCGCCATGGGTAACCCGTTATCAGCCACCCTGTGCCAGTTTTTCATGGAAGACCTGGAACAAAAAGCCATAGCCACTGCCCCCCCCCCCCCCCCCCCCCCCCCCCCCCCAACTGCTAAATAAAACTATGGAAACGCTACGTAGACGACATACTGGAAATCATACCAAAAGGACAAACAGAAACACTAACACAACACTTGAATAACATGGACGACACGGGCAACATAAAGTTCACTTATGAGTCAGAAACAGAAGGCAGCATAGCTTTTATGGATATGAAAATCACCAGACAGACCGACGGGACCCTAAACATAAACACATACAGGAAACCAACACACACAGACCAATATCTATCATGGACATCAGAACACCCCACCATACACAACATGTCAGTAATCAGAACATTATATCACCGAGCAAACATGGTAACAGAAGAAAGAGACCGTAAACAAGAAGACAAACACATACAACACGCTTTAAAGACCTGCAGGTACCCGACATGGGCAATAAACAAAGGAAAACAACAAACAACAACAGAAAGCAAAGAACCAGAAACCCAGAAAGTCAAGAACCAGAACCAGTGATAACCCTACCATACATCAGAGGCATAACAGAAAAAATAAGAGCAACAATGAAAACACACAACATAAACACACCAACAAAGCCATACACAACAGTTAGAAACAGACTAGTGCACCCAAAGACAAAATATCAGCTGGACTTAAATGTGGAGTCGTTTACGAAATCCCATGCAAACTCTGCAATAAAACATACATAGGAGAAACCGGACGCCAACTCAACACACGAACATTAGAACATAGAAAGGAGTGTGAGAAAGAAACAAGTCGAAAACACACAAGAGCAGCAACAGAAGAAGCAGAAAGCACAATAAAGCAGTCAGCCGTAACAGATCACTGCACAAGAGAAAACCATGTAATGGACTGGGACAACACAAGGATCATAAACACCGAACAACAGAAATACAAAAGGAGGAAAGAACCACCATAAATCTGGTCATGTGGTAAGTAGCAGCTACGCTAGGAGGGAGGAGATTGATTTGTGGTAATGCTGATTACAAACGTTTACAAGCTGATGAATCTCAAAGTACGTGACTGGCGTGGTCGAAACACCCATCATTACTTTTCATTTAAATAGAAGTACAACATAAGTGTGATCCAGGGTCTTAGGCGGGCTAGAAAATGGCTCTTTTAGCCCCGTTCAGGGACCCATGAGCCCACCAGAAAGGGAGGAAACTTAGGCTCCCTATTAGGTCACGGGGGCAGCAGCCTAAGCCAAGAAGCCCAGACTTGCCTCTCCCCAGCTACTTGGGCTAGATCCTCTGGGGGAATCCCAAGGTGGGCCACCCGAGAAACGTAGTTCCTCCAGCGTGTCCTGGGTCTTCCTTTAAGCCTCCTCCCAGTTGGACGTGCCCAGAAAACCTCACAGAGGAGAAGCCCATTTGTGTTATTGTGTACCACTTGTGTACTATTTGCATTTTATATTCTTCCTCTAGCTGGCATCATTCAGTCTTTCCCAGACATCTCCTACCACATCTACGCTGATGATATTCAGCTCTATATGTCCTTTATGCCACACCAGTTGGACAGGCTGGCCACACTTGTACTCTGCCTGACCCAGATCAGTAACTAGCTGTCCAGCAACTTTCTTGTCCTCAATGCTAACAAGACAGAGACCCTGATCGCTGCACCCCCGGAACTTCAGCCAAAAATCGAGCAGGAAATCGCCTCTTTTTGCCCATCAGCCAAGGCCAACATTAGAAACCTAGGAGTTATTTTTGATCCAGCTTTAAGTTTAGACTCACACGTCAAAACCATCTCCCGCTCTTGTTTCTTTCAGCTGAGAAACATTTCAAAAGTCCATAAACTGGTTTCTACTGCAGATCTGGAAAAAATCATCCATGCCTTTGTGTCATCACGCTTAGACTACTGTAACGCTCTTTTTACTGGTCTCAGCAAAACCTCCCTCTCACGCCTTCAAGCCATCCAAAATGCAGCAGCCAGACTCCTAACCAAATCCAGCAGACGAGCTCACATCACTCCAGGTTTACAGTCCCTCCACTGGCTCCCGGTAGAATATAGAATACAGTTTAAAGTTTTAGTCCTGACCTATAGAGCTCTTAACAACCAGGCTCCAAGCTACCTATCTGAGCTTTTATCCCCACACACCACCTCTCGGAACCACAGATCCACATCTGAAAACCTCCTGGCTGTTCCTCGAACCAGACTGAAAACCAAAGGGGGCGGGGCCTTTCAGACTATTGCACCCAGACTTCAGAACCCCGTCTCTCCAAAACTGTAGAGGTCTTCAAAAAGCATTTAAAACTCACCTTTTCATCCAGGCCTTCCCCCGCTAAATATGCTGACAGATGGCTTTGTCTTTGTTCATACCCTGACTTCGTTTTTACTCCTGATTTTGTTTACTATTTTTCACTGCTATTGTTTTATGATCTGTTTTTATCCGTTTGAGGTATTTGCCCTGATTTTACTCATGTTGTACAGCGCCTTGTGGTTCATATCTGCGAAAGGTGCTTCATTAATAAACTTTTACTTACTTAGTTACTTACTTACTTAGTTACCAGGATAACACCAGTACCAGTTAAACTGAGGAGGTCTGCACTCTTACTGCTGAGGGGATGAATGACCTACGGTAGCGTTCTGTTTTACGTCTGGGATGTCTGTCTGCCTCTGAAGGAGCTGTCCATGGTCTCCACAGGGGAATATAGTGGGTGGGAGGGTTATAATAAGATAGAGGTCATCTTCCCCAGCTTCCTCCTTTAACACATCAGCTCAGAACCGAGCTAGCTTTGTTAAAGAGCAAGTAACACCTAAATGAACTTGTTTTTGCTGATAACCTGTATAGATGAGTGTCTAATGGTGCTGTACACGTGTGTGATCATTACACACATGTGGCAGTTTAGTGCAACTTACTTTAAATGTAATATTTCAGCCCAAAACCATAATTCTATCTCCATCTTCAGGTTAAAACTGCTCCACATTCATGTAGAACCAGCTGTGGCTGATGGCTACGCTGAAAGTTGTGACATTGTCAGCAAATTACTACGTGGCTGCACCGCCCTGGGGCCTCCTTCACCAAGCTAGCTTACGCACTAAACGGGGTCGGAAAACTGCGTAAGCAACTTTCCATGCAAACTTTGGGATTTATGAAAGAAAACTTAGTGGAAAAATGTGTGCAACTTTAAGTTGACTAAGGACCTGGCTTACACACATGCTGGACATGGAGAGCACCTGCAGTGCTGCTGCTGAGAAGATAACATTATGATATCCTGCAGCATTGTCACTTGTACCGCTTCGTGTTCACGCAGAACCAGACCCCCGCGCACGCATGCACACACACACACACACACACACACACACACACACACACACACACACACACAGCCTGAAGAGCAGAATATCAGCAGGGCGACAGATTGAGACAGAACATGTGTGTGTGACAGTGTGTGTCCTGTCACTGTGACCTGATTGATCATGCGCCCTGGCTACTTGTACAGGGGAGATCTCTGTTTGGGTGACTGGTTAGCGTGTGTGACTTTCACCCGGGAGTCTGGGGATCGAATCCCGATTGGACCATAATTTTTATATCCGCCACAGATCTCTCTGAAGAAGTCAGCATTGACGGCTTCAGCAACGCTGTGCCACTCCGTGGATTTTCTCTTATTTGTTTTGCAAAAGCACTTCCTTTCATTTCTCCACCTCACCCACAGGTACCTCATCTTCTGCTTGTGTAAAGTAGCGCTTCCTTCATGCTGCATGATTGGAGATCCAGAACCGTCTTCTTTAGAGCTTTGTTGTCCTGGGAGATCCGATGTTATCCTGCAGTCAAGGAGGAAACCGATTCCCGCAGAGATGCGTTCTCAGCTGCGAGCCGCTCCACCTGCTCCTGGCTAAACTCCAGAGATGTTCGGAGGTCCTGGAACTCCTTGTGAAACCGACTGGAATTACCCCGACGCATTCAGGCATGCAGATATTTTAAACGTTACGCACGGAGAACATCACAGAGGTAACAACATATATCAGGAAAAGATTCCCATCTGAGCATCATCTCGGATCTGGACACCAGGACCAGCGCCCCGAGGAGCTGTGAGAGCAGCGGTGCGTCTGTGGTTCATGGCAGCAGGTAAAACGCTCCTACTGTAAGTGAAATCGATTAATTGTAACATTAATAAGTTGCTGCGCACGCTGGTCAGCTTGTGTAGATGAAATATGAATGAAAATTAAGTAGTTTTTATTTCTTATCTGAGAAACGGTCATGACTGTTTGTTAACTCTGCCCGTCTAAATGAGAACAGACGTGTCGCTGACCTGTGCTGTCGGTGTTTCTGTTCCTGCCTGTAACCGATATTAACAACATGTTTAACCAGGGCTCATCCAGACAGAGCAGCTCCTGCTGGTGGAGTCTGGCTGGCTGCTTGATCGTGAACAAGCACTGCCGCGCTTACTCTAGTGAGATGTTTCTGGCAGTAATGAAACGTCTGAGCTCCGTTTGTTTCCTTTCAGGTCCTAGGGATCCACGATGTTGGCTGTAGACAATTCCTGAAAATACCGATCCCTTTCAGTTTCTCCCTGTAAGGAATGCGTTCATCGTTTCATCCATCCTTGTGACTTTTTCTGCTGCAGCTTCCCCTAGCAACGCGAGTCCTGCACCTAAAATGGTCCTAAGGGGGTGTAGATGACATGCAGGTCACGTGTCAGACAAGAGCCGGTTGATTGTTTATTTTTGCAGACCCACCTCCCCCTTTCCCTTACACGTGTCTCTGTTGGTATTTTAAACAACTAAAAACATTTCTGATGAAGTTTTGGTATCAGGAACGGCGCTACAGCAGCAGCTGGAATGCTGCACCTGTAAGGAACCGGCATCAGTTGCTGTCAGGACGTCGCCCAACAGACTCGGTGCTATGGTCGGGTTAGATCGAGTAGTGAATGTGAGAACTGAGCGTGTAGCACTTTTTCTACAACCTTAGACACAAAAGGACGTTGGGATTGGATGGAAATTTGCTTAGTCATTGTGATCCAAGCCAGGTTTTTCAACAGCGGTCGGACCACCGCCTTCTTAAAGGCTCCTGGAAACGCTCCAGAGGACAACCCCTAACTTCAGATGTTCAGAATAAAGGGACCCACTACAGGGAGTACCCCAAGTAGCAATGCTGGGGGGGGGGGGGGGGGGGGGGGGATCCCGTAAGCGCCGCAGGAATTCATAGACCCGATTGGTTTGTCAAGATCTTGACGGGAGAGATGGTCAGAATCGGAGAACAGGCCCTAACAGAATGTTTCCAGGAAAAATCCTGAAAATCAGTGCAGACCTAAGGGTCCTACAGCCCCCCAAGGCGCTTTACAACACACTAAAGTGCCCTAAAGGAAAATCGTCACACACACGTAGGTTATTCGTCTTGGTTTAATACATATTCTGAAATAAAACCTGTTAACGGGTCTATTTGAAACACCTGCTCTTCTTCACTTGTGAGCTGAAGCAGCTCGTCCGACTCAAACACCAGTTTGGTTCTTTCTTTGATCCAGAATGAAGTTCACAGAAAGGTCATCCTGGTTGGGGTTGGGTTAGTGGCCTCGCTAAGCTCTGCTGATTGTTTAGTGCTGTTCACGACGTTTGCTCGCTCCATGATTTTGGGAAGTCAGACTGCTTGGAGCTTCTCAGAACGTTCACTTTGCCAACAGCCAAATCCCAGCAGCACCGGGATTATTCTTCTCTGTTAAGAACCGATACTCCGCCTGATACATGGCTGCTATAAGCTGCTTGTTTGGCTGGAGCAGAATCCTTGTCTGCGTGCCACACCTGCGATAAGGACTACCAGATTATGGAGTCTAGTGTGCGTGGAAGCCGAATTACAGGAACCCTATTAAGTCTTCCTCCCACGCTAATCCCTTGGCACCTTGAAATAACATTTCCCAGAACTGTGTAAGGCTGTTGAATCATACAGGTGGGAAGCAGAGAGAATCATTTCCTCACACGTTATGTAAGGAAATAAGTTTCAGAAGAAGAATCCAAACGTGGCTTTTACTACCCTAACCCTAAATGGATTAGGATGAAGGAACAGATGCTCAATCTCAGGGGCTTAGAGATAATCCCACCAAACAGGAAACATTTTCTCAGCATGTGAGGTCGAGTCTAAAGAAAAACTATTTTATCTACAAACATCCGCTCTTCGCCTTTTTGTTCTCCAAGTTCCTCTTTCCAGGTTTTCTGTTTCTACGCCTCGACGGCGCGAGTCACCAGGCAGACAGGTGGCATCCTTCAGCGCCGTGCTGATCAGCCTTTGTAGTTGATGCTGTCGTTCACAAGTCCCTCGGGGCACTGACCGCCTTTGTTGTTCCCGGGCTGCAGGAGTAATCCTGAGGACTGTGGCTTGTTGGGCTGTGAGAGTGTGGAAAAAAGGACGGGAGGTAGGGAATGGCGGCCAGCAGCAGCGGGCTGGTCAGGGGGCTCTCGTCCCGAGACAAGGGGATGACCACGTCGTCCTGGTCCCACACGTGGAAGGCGTTGTGGGCGAAGGGGTGGGTCAAAGGAGGGTGTCCGAAGGGCATTCCGTGCTGTGGGTTACCGTCGGGGCTCTTTTCTTCATCTCCGGCCGGGCCCAAGAGACAATCTGGAGAAAGGAGAGAGGTGCAGCTCAGTGACCATCAACACCCACCTGTATCACCTCACCTGTCCAGGTTTGTCTAAAACACTCAAATTCAGGAATGGTGTGCTATGACTGGCCTAGATCAAATTAGCAAAACGCTGAGAAAGGTCCTCGCACACATTCGTGGGATGGAGGTGATAAGCCCCGCCCCTTTTGAAACCCTGGAGCTTTCCACAGAGCCAGTATTTAGATCGGTTTCCTGTGATGTCACACGTCCCACTTCTACAGAAACGTGTTTCTGCTTCCGACAGCCCACACCCAACACTTTCAGATTATTTTCTCCAACTGAAAGGTTTGACACATAATCCACCCGGCTGGTTGTCGGACTCAGAACTTTTACCTGTTTGCTAGCAGAAGGTGAGACAGGTGTGTGGTTACTATGGTGAACTTGACAAAGCTATAACAAACCACTGGAGGTTACCATGGTGACCCTACTGTGCCAGCTGCAGCTGCTTTAACAGTTCTTCAGATTTTAGTCCTGTTTAAACATAAAACATTGACCTGGTTTTTCTTTTGGCCACGCCCACCCATCCAGATGTGCTAAATAAAGCTACAGGTAGCTTACCTGCTATGTCGATGGCCAGGTCCTTGATCAGATGTCCCACTATGGCATAGGCAACCCCTACAACCACCAGGGCAGCCATGAGTAGGTACAGAACCCCCTTCGGTAGCGGGATGAGCTCCTTCACTGGGGGCTTGTACTGCTTGTAGAGGGGCTCTTCGGTGGGATACGGAAACACCTGGCCACCGTGGGTGGAGTTCCAGCCGCTGACGTTAAAAGCATTCATGCTAAAAGCGGAGAAAACCCAGAAGAAGCTCAGAAAGCCTGTCCATGAGGAGGAAACCTCTCAGCGTTTCCGTTCCGCGCGAGCCGGTAAGTACACACGGTAAGCCCCGCCCACCTGTCAGCAGCTCGGTCTGCAGCCACAGACCTCCAGAGCTGACAGAACGACAGTAAGTCACGTGATCAGAGCCTCAGCGGTGGGGGTTATAACAATCTCTGCCACCTGTCTGTGGGCACCTCCTCTATCAAGAGCTCTTAATCCTGCTGAGATTATAATCTGGAGGATTTGTAAACATTTACACAAAGCTACTGCTTAATGCCAGACAAGTAGGAGGAGCAGGAGAGAACCTTCTGGGTAGGGATGTAAGAAGATATGTGTGGCATCACCAGAATGTCTCCAAAACACATCCCTAATTCTGCGTTCCCACAGATTAGAGAAGGAAACGTTGGTTCCTTAAGTAAACCCACCAGATTAGCTGCTTAACTCCGTCCCTTCAAAGTGGCAGCTTTCCACATGAAGCTGGAGGATGGAGGCCGCTCCCATCCCTCCAGCATCACTGGATTGAACAAAAATCATGCTGAGGGCTCCCTGTCCAGGATGGGAAGTAGAAATTAAAACTTCTGGGTTCTGTTTGTGGATTTAATCTCACATCCACGAGACTAAACCATCGACCACCATGACGACATTCTGAAAGACCAACCAGCCGCATCAAGATCCATCTCTTGGGAAACTCTGGTCCAACTCGGGGTTTCAGGGAGAAGTCCTGGAGGAGAAACCGGACATCCTCCTGGGTGATCCCAAACTCCAGAGGATGTAAATGATTCCAGATCCAACATCTGATTTGGTTCGGCAACATCACAAATAGCAGCCTGCGACACGTACGAACAGGAAGTGGATCACAGGCCCCGCCTCCCCACGCTGTAGGGTCAGGCTCAGATGCCCCGCCTCCCCGCGCTGTAGGGTCAGGCTGAGGACCCGGCTCCCGGCTCTGTAGGGTCAGGCTCAGAAGCCCCGCCTCCCCGCGCTGTAAGGTCAGGCTGAGGACCCGGCTCCCTGCGCTGTAGGGTCAGGCTGAGGCCCCGCCTCCCCGCGCTGTAGGGTCAGGCTGAGGACCCGGCTCCCCGCGCTGTAGGGTCAGGCTCAGAGGCCCCGCCTCCCCGCGCTGTAAGGTCAGGCTGAGGACCCGCCTCCCCGCGCTGTAGGGTCAGGCTCAGAGGCCCCGCCTCCCCACGCTGTAGGGTCAGGCTGAGGACCCGCCTCCCCGCGCTGTAGGGTCAGGCTCAGAGGCCCCGCCTCCCCGCGCTGTAGGGTCAGGCTCAGAGGCCCTGCCTCCCCGCGCTGTAGGGTCAGGCTCAGAGGCCCCGCCTCCCCGCGCTGTAGGGTCAGGCTCAGAGGCCCCGCCTCCCCGCGCTGTAGGGTCAGGCTCAGAGGCCCCGCCTCCCCGCGCTGTAGGGTCAGGCTCAGAGGCCCTGGCTCCCCGCGCTGTAGGGTCAGGCTCAGAGGCCCCGCCTCCCCGCGCTGTAGGGTCAGGCTCAGAGGCCCCGGCTCGGTGTTTTCATGTTTACTTTTTTGGACTTGGGAGAAAAAATTCCTCTGAAAGCATTTGGAACATTTCCCAGATTTATTTTTCTTTCATTTCAAATTCCAACATTCCTCATAAACTCTAAAGCTGATTATCACACACGCGCACACACACACACACACACAGGGACCTATTTGTGGACAGTGAAGGCCTGCAGCCCTGTGATGGCTCTGCCCAGGATCAGAGCATGGATGTCGTGAGTTCCTGGAGGAAGAGAAACACGTTCAGAGGGAGCAGCTGTTCCGTGAGAGGTGGCGCTCAGACATACCCCTCACCTTCGTAGGTGTTGACGGCCTCCAGATTCATGACGTGGCGGATGACATGGTACTCATCTGCGATGCCGTTTCCTCCCAGCATGTCCCTGGCCTGCCGGGCGATGTCCAGGGCTTTCCCACAGCTGTTCCTCTTCAGCATGGAGATCATCTCTGGAGCGGCTCTGTTAGGAAGCACAAACATCTGCTCACAGAGAAGGTCCAAGACCAGACCGGCTCTGGGTCGCTCAAGCTCCTTACTTCTTCTCATCTATCAGCCTGCCGAGCTGCAAACATGACTGAAGGCCGATGGAAATCTCTGTCAGCATGTCGGCCATCTTCTTCTGCATCAGCTGATTCCTGGCGAGAGGAACTCCAAACTGGATCCTGTCGAGTGTGTACTGACGGGCAGCGTGGAAGCAGAACTCTGCAGCACCCAGGGCGCCCCAAGCGATCCCGTAGCGGGCGTTGTTCAGGCAGCCGAAGGGGCCCTGGGGGGTGGGATAAAAGCTGCTGAGTCATTCATCTGCTTACCAAACCAGACCCCCCCCCAACACACTCCTCACCCCCAGGCCGATGGCTTTAGGGAGCAGGTTCTCCTCAGGAACCTCCACATCATCCATCAGGATCATCCCGGTGGCCGAGGCCCTCAGGGAGAACTTCCCCTCAATCTTGGGAGTGGAGAGACCCTTCATGCCCCGCTCCAGGATGAAGCCTCGAATCTTCCCATCATCACACCTGGCCCACACCACAGCCATGTCGGCCACGGGAGAGTTGGTGATCCTGCAGGTGGAGGACAGGGGTGGAGCTTATGTTTTTATTCTAACATCCTACTAAAGTTCTAAACAGCCCAAACTCCAAACGTCTGAGTTGTTCAGATGTAAAGAGCTCCACCTAGTGGACAAGCGGTGTTGTAGTCCACACACCAGCAGAAGTAAAGCTGTGTGCACGTTTACACCACTACCCATGAACACGTGGGTTTATCACTTCTTATGTTTCTGAGTCAAACTCATGAAATAGAATCTTACACAGATCTAGATCTGTCTAGATCTAGGCAGAACTAGATTAACTAGATCTAAACAGATCTACTGTAGATCTAGATCTATCTAGATCAAGGCAGAACTAGAACTAACAGATCTAAACGATCTACTGTAGATCTAGACAGATATAAAAAGATCTAGGCAGATAAACAGATCTACTGTAGATCTAGATCTATCTAGATCAAGGCAGAACTAGAACTAACAGATCTAAACGATCTACTGTAGATCTAGACAGATATAAAAAGATCTAGGCAGATAAACAGATCTACTGTAGATCTAGGCAGAAATAAACAGAACTAGATCTAGACAGATCTAAATCTAGGCAGATATAAACAGATCTAGATCTGTCTAGATCTAGGCAGAACTAGATCTCTACTGTAGATCTAGGCAGATATAAACAGATCTAGGCAGATAAACAGATCTAAATCTAGGCAGATAAACATATCTACTGTAGATCTAGGCAGAAATAAACGGAACTAGATCTGTCTAGATCTAGGCAGAACTAGAACTAACAGATCTAAACGATCTACTGTAGATCTAGACAGATCTAGATCAGAGTCTGGCACCACCAAACAAAACCAAAGTGACTAAATGACTAACAGACTGAAGCTCCTCCCACTCACCAGGTCTTGGAGCCGGTGATGCTGTAGGTCCGACTGGACGGGTTGAACCGGGCTCTCGTCTCCATGCTGCTGGGATCACTGCCGTGATTTGGTTCCGTCAGGCCAAAGCAGCCCAGGATCTCTCCACGAGCTGAGACACCCAAGGGACAACGTCTGATCTATCAGCTGATCCGTTTAAACGGCAGAATGAAGGCAGCATGTGATGGATGTGTGTAGTTTTGGTTGTGACGAGGGACATATCGGCATCAATATCAGTATCGGCCAATGTTAGTCACTTAACATATCGGTATCGGCCAACGTTAGTCCTTTTTAACATATCGGTATCGATCCGATGCTAGTCCTTTTTAACATATCGGTATCGATCCGATGTTAGTCCTTTTTAACATATCGGTATCGATCCGATGCTAGTCCTTTTTAACATATCGGTATCGATCCGATGTTAGTCCTTTTTAACATATCGGTATCGATCCGATGTTAGTCCATTTTAACATATCGGTATCGATCTGATGTTAGTCCTTTTTAACATATCGGTATCGATCCGATGTTAGTCCTTTTTAACATATCGGTATCGATCCGATGTTAGTCCTTTTTAACATATCGGTATCGATCCGATGTTAGTCCATTTTAACATATCGGTATCGATCCGATGTTAGTCCTTTTTAACATATCGGTATCGATCCGATGTTAGTCCTTTTTAACATATCAGTGTCGGCCAATGTTAGTCCTTTTTAACATATCGGTATCGATCTGATGTTAGTCCTTTTTAACATATCGGTATCGGCCAATGTTAGTCCTTTTTAACATATCGGTATCGATCCGATGTTAGTCCATTTTAACATATCGGTATCGATCCGATGTTAGTCCTTTTTAACATATCAGTGTCGGCCGATGTTAGTCATTCTTAACATATCGGTATCGCCAAATATCATTTATCAGCCATAACAGTGATATTAATATGGAATATCGGCCCAAAAATGTCATATCGGTGCATCACTAGTTGTGACCTTTGTCCAGCATGTCCTGAGAGGTGGAACCGTTTTCCTGTGGATGTGAGACAGGCGTCCTCACCGTCTCATTCTGAGATTCGTGTCTTCAGACATTGGTTTATGGGGTTTTAATCGAGTGTGTCTGAATGCGGTCATCTCGTTGTAGCTAATCTTCGTCTGTGCTGGCTGCTGCTTTACGAATAAAGTTGGATTGAATACAGACCCACTTAAACACATTTTTAGAAGTGATGCTAAAACTTTTCATTCAAATATGTCATGTATTGATGAGCATTTTGTTGCTTTAACTGGGATTTTTGGCCAGGTTGTTAAACTTTTGGCTTTCCGTAATCTAGAATCGGAGCGTTAAAGGCCGGTTTCATTCCTGAGTCTGTCTTTCTGTATAGAGGAATAAAAGCCAGGTTTAGTGGATGGAACGCGGATCATAACGGAGTCTTGTGATGTTTTTATTAGATGATAAACAGAATACTTCAGTAACCAGGAGTGTGGGGTTCCCCATCCTACCCAGCTTAGGGAGGTACTTCTGTTTCTGCTCCTCTGAGCCGTAGGCGTTGATCGGGTGCATGACCAGCGATGACTGCACGCTCATGACCGAGCGATAACCGCTGTCTACTCTCTCCACCTCTCTGGCGATCAGACCGTATGCCACGTAGCTCGTCCCAGCACAGCCGTAACCTTAGCAACAGACGCAGGAAGAAGAGTTATCATGATAGCCAACATCAGACCCAAAAACCCAGAAAAGGCTTCCGTCACTGGACTGTGGAAGAATAGTCCCAGGAGATTCCTGGTTCAGATGTTTTCAGACAGACCTTTAATAGTTGGACCCAGAATTCCAAGGGCTCCCATCTCGGACACTATGTCTCTGTGGAAAACTGAAAGCAAGAGACGAGACTGATCACAAACAAAACCCATGATGTTGATCAAATTCCAGCTGTGACTGTGAAAGCTGCGCTCTCCCACCCTCATTCCTGTTTGCCATCAGGATCCGAGGCATGAGCTTCTCCTGGCAGTAGGTTCGAAAGGAATCTCGGATCATGACCTCTTCCTCCGTCAGCTGGCCTTCCAGGTCCAGAGCATCACGCCAGTCAAACTGGACTTTTGCTGACAGGAATCAGAAATGATTTAAGAGCTTTTCAAACATCAGTGGGTTTAAACTCAGTCTGAGAAACCGTAACCCCACGTGGTCGTAAACACTTACGGGATTTAGGGTTGGGCTGAACCTTCTCAGAGTCTGTGAGGAAAAACAAAATACCTCAGTTTCACACACACACACACACACACACACACACACACACACACACACACACACACACACACACACGACTGACCGTGTTGGGCCGCCGGTGCTGCTGTTCTCTGTGCTCTGCAGGTCGTCTTCCAGGCGCTCCTGTCCAGATTCCTCAGGAGACGACAGACGGTGCTCCTCAGAGCCATGGCTGAAACGAGACCGCAGGTTGTGTGTGACACAGGTAAAACGTGGTTATGAGCTGCGACTCCGCTGGGAATCAAACATCTTCAACATCTGCCAGGAGCTTTCTACTGGATAAAGTCTGGGAAGTTCTCCGGTCCACCTGAGATCTTCCTGAATGTTTGGGATGAGTGAGGGTACCATCTCTGGGACTAAACGGTGGGTGGGTTAGTGGGACCACACGTGACTGGTCTAAACCAATCAGAAAGGGAACAGGACCTTCCCCACTGAGCTACAGGTGTGCTGCTCTGGTCCGTGTCCTACATCTGATCTAACATGAAGACATGCTCCCTGTCCACTCATAGCTCAGCCTGTGGCCTGTCTCTTCTCAGCACACCTGCGTTGGCTCACTAAGCTAACTGGTGCGCTTAGGTAACCCTACAGCTAAACGCTAGCTAGCTGCTAACGCGTGTTTCTGCCGACATTAGAGTAAAATTATCTTTTACGGTTAGTAACAAACAGCAGGTAAACCAGCGTGGGCTGTACGGTACCTGTTCACCGGTTCAACAGAAGATAAAAATCCCGGTCCGGTCCGGTCCGGCTCGCCGTGGCTCCGCTAGCCTGTGGAACTCTCAACGTCTAAACAAACAACGTCATCACGTAACTTATGTCACACTGGAGGCGTTTAGCAACGTCGGCAAAATGCCTGTCAACCACTACGTTGCTAGACCCACCAGGTAAAACCAGGTAACTGAACAGGTTCTTGTGTCTGCGCGGTGGCACTAAAGCGCGATCAGCTCTACGTTCGCTTAGTCACGATTATCTCCTAAATGTCGTTCTTCCGTTTCATTGCTAATGACTCTCTGACTGTTACTGAACGTCTCAGTTTCAACAGAAGGCTCCTATTGGCTCATTTTGGGGGAGTGAAGTCACAGCCCAGAAAAAAAAACCTCAGAATAGGAACAGGAAATACGGGTGCCATCTTGAACCAGTAGTGGTGAGAACTCCGGCTCTTTTAATAGAACCGGTTCTTACGGCTCAGCTCACTAAAATGAACCTGCTGTTTCGGCTCTAAAACGGCTCCTCACAATTTTTGTTTTTTTAAATTAATTTGTCACCTGAAGATGATGTAAAATGTGTGTGAAATGATTGACCAGTCTACAAACTTACATTAAATCAACTTTTTATTATTTCAAAGAAGACTAGGCAGTGTGAAACGTCTCCCCAGCCTCATTAGCGTCTACAGAAGGGATTAATCACTAAATCAAACATATCAGATGATCTAAAATATGCAAGAAACCTGCTGGAAGCAGACTGCAGCACCAGGTATGTCAGCTAAACGTCGGCCCACTACTCTGAAGGGTCAGAGTGACCTTTCATTAACCCTGTAAAGGGTCCTTTTAGCTCATACTGGCCCAAGAAAATGATTTAAAAATATGAAAAAGAGGGGGTTACGTGATGCACCGAGCCAAACAGACGTGAAAAGTTGGAGCTCTGCACTGGATGGATGTAAATAAGCTGTATCCTAGCTCAATTCACGATTAAACTGCCTTGAGAGTTTTTTGGAATGTCCTTGGACGATTTTTTTGCACACTCCGCCTCAAGCAAGAAGAAGGAAATGGGCAAACGAGGGGCCAAAGCTAAAGCTAGCAGCAAGGCGAGGGCTAGCAATAGCCTTGAAAATGAGCCCATGGAAGATACTGACGGAGGGGTAAATATGGTGGGGGAAGCTATGATTGTGGATAAGGTGACTGCTAACATAGCAAAGATACCAGACACTAAGCTGTTGGAAGTCATTAAGCCAACAAACGAGCTCGCCAAGAAATTTGACAAGCTAATAGGAAAAGTGAGAACGGTGAAAAAGTGAGTTTTGGATTTGGAGGATATTACAGCCTCAAATGTGCCGTGGATCACTGCCTTGGAAAATCAACTTGAGAAAGCGAGGGAGCGATTGGAAAACTTCGAGAACCAGAGCCGCCGGCAGAATGTGAGGATCGTTGGCTTAAAAGAAGGGGTGGAAGGCAGCGCGCTGTTAGACTTCTTCAGGAAATGGATACCAGAAGCTCTGGGGCTGCAGCAGGGAACCAGTATCACAATCGATCGGGCGCACCGCACCGGACCACCGATGAGGCTCGCCAGCGCCGAGGGACCTCGCACAGTGTTGGTCCACCTGCACTACTACGCTGATACACAGAAGATCCTGCAGGCTGCAAGAGCCAATGGTATCGTTAACACAGACGCAGGGACGGTGTCTTTCGTTGTGGGCAGCAGTAGCTCAGCAGGTTAAGCGGGTTGTCTAGTAATCGGAAGGTTGCAGGTTCGATCCCGGCTCCGGACAGAGAATTCTGCTGTTGTGTGCTTGGGCAAGACACTTAACGCACCTTGCCTGCTGGTGGTGGTCGGAGGGACCGGTGGCGCCTGTGCTTGGCAGCCTCTGTCGGTGTGCCCCAGGACAGCTGTGGCTACACCAGTGTATGAATGTGTGTGTGAATGGATGAATGATACACTGTAGTGTAAAGCGCTTTGGAGTCCTTACTCTGAGAGGCGCTATACAAGTGTGGATCATTTATCATTTCTATCAGGACTTCTCCGCAGAGGTAGCAAGGAAAAGGAAGGAAACGGCGAATGCGCGGCATGCACTCCGAGAAGCAGGGGTTAAACATTCCTTTCTGTATCCAGCCATCATTAAAATATACAACCCTGATGGATCCAGCCGCTCTCTCAGGAGCATGGAGGAGGTCAAGGATTATTTGGAAAAACTACCAGGATCCAAGTAACCTGACGGTGCGCAAAAGAGGAACTATAACGTAAGCTATAAACATGAGGCTCAGTAAAGTTGTTGAGCAGCTAGACTAGGATATAAATTTTATTGTTGTGGTTATAAGATGTTTCCTGTGTGGGGAGGGGATGGACATGTGTCCTCTATAGCTGTACTTCAATGTAGGGTACACCTAGTTATTTACTTTTTTTTTCTGTTTGTTCCTTCCTTTCTCCAGTGGTTTCAGGGTAAGGAAGGGGGGAGGCTCCCAGCTTTTGTGTTCGGATGTTGCTGGGAGCTGATTTGTTAGTTTCATGTTTGAATGTTTCTGACAAAAGTTACAGTCTGGTCGAGGTTAAAATGGTTTTAATATGTTTGCAGCACTGAAGTAATATTTTTCTTCATATGTCAGTTAAGATAAGTACTTGGAATGTTAAAGGGTCCAATAGCGTGGTTAAGAAAAGATCCGTATTAAACCCTCTAAAGAAGGATTTGGTCCATATAGCTTTCCTGCAGGAAACCCACCTGACAGATGATGAGCATAAAAATATTGTCAAGGTTGGGTTAGCCAAATATTCTTTTCATCTTATACTGCAAGCAGAAGGGGGGGGGGGGGGGGGGGGTGATCACCCTCATACACAAAAATCTTCCCTTTATTGCTATAGATACTTATAAAGACAAGGAAGGACGGTGTACTCTGGTGAAGGGGAAGTGACATGGTGAGACTATTTTGCTGGGTGATATATATGCTCCAAACACACAGGATGAGGGGTTCTATATGGAGATTTGTGATCATTTAGTAGACATGGATTGTGTTAATATAAAATACTAGCGGGAGACTTTAATTGTACGTTATGCCCCAAATTGGATAGATTTCCCTCACAATCCACTACGACAACAAACTCAAAGGCTCTTCTGCAAACTATAAATGAATTTGGACTTGTTGATGTGTGGCGACATCACAATCTAGTTCTCAACATTACACATTTCATTCTGATCCTCACCCAACAGCCTCTCGTATAGACTATATTTTTATGTCAAATGTATCAATCACTTAGTTGAGAAGGTGTATATTGGTCTTATTGGTCTTTCTGGTCATGCCCCGGTGGCTTTAGTCATTCGACCGCAGAGAGAGATTGAGCGATCAGTATCATGGAAGATGAGCGCATTATCCCTGATAGATAAGAAATGTATACAACTTATAATGGAGCAAACTACAATGTTTTCAGAAATGAATGATGAAGACGGGATGGATCCGAGAAATACATGGGACAGCTTATAAGGCATACATGAGAGGGATTATAATTGCTCATACAAGCTACACAAGAAAGCAACGATAAATAAAACAGCAAGAAATTTGAGAGGATATTAAGGATTTGGAGAAAAACTACTATGCAACCAGGTCATCTGATACACTGAATAAGCTCAAGGCTAAGAGGACATCGTTGTACAGTTTGATCATGCGGAAAGCTGAAAGAGATATTCTTTTTGCTAAGCAAAGATTTTTTGAAGCTGGTAATAAACTTAATCATTTTTTGACACGGTTGATAAGGAATGCTCCATCTAGCTCCTAGCTATTATAGATGGTAACAATGCAAGGCATACGGGAAATCGGCAGATTAATGAGTGTTTTAGGGAGTTTTATTCTAGCCTGAATGGTCAAGGTCAAGGTAACTTCATTAATACCCGCAGGCAGATTTGATTATGGGTCTGAAATGGATATAACAAGACTTAAATCAGGGTTTTCCTAAATGACTTGATGTTTCCTCAGCTGTCTGAGGATCAAGCTGGTTTGTTGGCGTCACCTATAACACTGGCAGGGTAAAGCGCCAGGGGCAGACGGGTACCAGTGGAGTATTTTAAGGTGATGAAAGGGAGGCTTAACAGTTTATTACTAAGGGTAAATAATAAACTTCCAGATTCGATGTATAGGGCTAATATTGTATTGATAGCTAAAAAGATAAAAACCCAGAGCTATGCTCATCTTATAGGCCTATCAGTCTTCTGGGAGGGATTATAAAATACTTTCAAAAATACTGGCTTTCAGGTTAGAAAAGGTATTGGGCTCTATAGTGACGGCAGACCAAACAGGGTTTATTAAGGCGAGGAACTCTTATTAAAATACTAGACGGCTATCTAATATTATTCATTTCATGGATTTTCATAAGATGCACGGAGCAGTTGTTTCCATGGACGCTGAAAAGGCTTTTGATAGAAGTGAATGGGAGTGTATGTTTGATATTATGAAACGATTTGGATTCGGGCCACATTTCTTCCAGTGGGTAAAATTTATATATAAAACTGCACGGTGGCGCAGTGGTCAGCACTGTTGCCTCGCAGCACGAAGGTCGCGGGGTCGAAACTCAGCTGCGGCCTTTCTGCGTGGAGTTGCGTGTTCTCCCCATGCATGCGTGGGTTTCCTCCGGGTACTCCGGTTTCCCCCACAGACCACAACATGCCCTATAGGTTATAAATTGTAAGTTGCTTTGGATAAAAGCGTCTGCTAAATAAATAAACATAAACTCCAGTAGCGTCAGTGGTGTCTAATGGATTGTCATCTTCTCCAATTAAACTGGGCAGAGGCACTGCACAGCGTAGCCCTTTATCACCACTGTTTGCTCTGGCGATTGAGCCTTTGACCATGGCCATTAGACAAAATCTAAATATAAGTGGAGTCAAAGTTGGAGAGAGACAGCATAAAATTCTTTTCTATGCAGACGATATTCCTTTGACGTTGACTAAACCATCTAAATCTCCACCTGTTCTTATTAGTTGTATCAGAGACTCTGGATTAATATCTGGACACAAGGTTAACCTGGACAAATCAGTCATAATGACTCTGGGGACTGAAGAGAATGTTGAACCGTATATGTGAAGCCTTTCCGCTGGGCACCACTAGGCTTTGAATATTTGGGTGTAAAAGTAACTCCAGATGTGAATTATTTATATAAGGAGCATATCAAAGGGATGATTCAAGAACTTCAGGAGAGGGTGATGAGATGGAGGTCTCTTCAAATCTCTTCTGGGTAGAATTAATCTTATTAAGATGGAA